TAAACCAGTACTAATCCAGTCCAGGACTAAACCAGGTCTAAACTAGAACTAACACCAGGACTAAAACCAGGTCTAAACCAGGTCTAAACCAGGACTAAACCAGGACTAAACCAGGTCTAAACTAGAACTAAAACCAGAACTAAAACCAGGTCTAAACCAGGTCTAAACCAGGACTAAACCAGGACTAAACCAGGTCTAAACCAGGACTAAACCAGAACTAACACCAAGACTAAAACCAGGACTAATCCAGTCCAGGACTAAACCAGGACTAAACCAGGTCTAAACCAGGTCTAAACCAGGACTAAACCAGAACTAACACCAAGACTAAAACCAGGACTAATCTAGTCCAGGACTAAACCAGGTCTAAACCAGGTCTAAACCAGATCTAAACCAGGACTAAACCAGGACTAAAACCATTGATCTCATATCTAAATTATTTCTCTATCAATAATATTTTTAATCTGGTTAAGGAAAGACTGGACTTTTTATTGTCTTTAAGTCGACAAAAGTTATTATGTTCAGATTTCCTCGTCTTTGCTGCTTTACAACAAACAGTTTCTTATTCATGGAGACTTGGGCTCAACAGACAATTTGGAGAGATTTGTTAAACAATAAATGACTTTATAAAGTCACTTTTTAAAATCTATATATCAGTCTTTTGATCTGCCACAATAATGTAATAATGAATTTAAATGAAAATACCTCAAATTGAAGCTTTTCTCAGCAATTTTTAGGTGAGATTAAAATGAGATTAATTAGATTAATTAATTACAGATCATAATTAATTAATCTCTACATTTTTTTAATCGCATGACAGCACTAATTAGCCATTAGTGATGGGCAAATTAAGCTTCATGAAGCATTGAAGCCTTTCATCTATTGGTTCACTCTAGTGCAGGAGTCTCAAACTCAAATGACCTGGGGGCCACATTAGATAAAGTCTGAGTGAGGCTGGGCAGCATTGAGTATTCGGTAAATAGCGGTTGCATGAAAAAAAAAACACGCCGTATGTGCTTGTATTAACAGATCCACTTAGACTCGTTGCTTCACAGCTGCTGTAAGTTGAGTTTTGGGACGTAAGATGCGTTAATAATCTGTTGTTGTGAATCTGCATGGGCACCGATTGCAGCTTCATCTGTCAGTGCCCGCGGTCGGGGGGTGGGATTGTGCGTACATCTACCGCCGGCCGCACTGACATTATTTTTTGGAATTAAGTGGAGGGGGGCCGCAAAAAATCCTTCCGAGGGCCGCAGTTGGCCTCCGGGCCGCGAGTCTGAGACCCCTGCTCTAGCGCAAAGCTTCTTGAAGCTTCATTTGCTCTAACAGGATCTACTGGACACAAAAATATCAGTTGACATGAATTTGAAGTGTGTGACATTTTGCAGAAAGTCTGTGAATAAAACTGTCAGCAAAATAAAGAAGTGTGTAGAACATGTCGATTGTAGTGACGCAGTGAACTGTGTCTATAAACTGGCAGGATGGAAAATGATTATTTGGAAATGATGAAAATAGAAATCGCAGCAAAATCCGGACCACTTCCTGAATCAGTCACGTGGTACAGCCGGGCAACGAGGCTTCGGACGTCATCATTTTCAGCTCCTCCCCTAAATGAAGCGAGCCTCGATACGCGCATCGCGGACACGCCCCCTCCTCTACTCGACACGCGCTTCGAAGCCTCGATACGGAGCGTCACATCACGATTAGCCATATTAGCCGTGTCCCAATTCAAGGGCGGCAGCTTTCGAAGGCGGTGAAGGCTGCAGCTCTCACCTCACCGGAGCTGAAATGTGACAGGTGAAGCCCACGGAGCCGCCCCGTCGCCTAGCAACCGACACACTCTGATAATGCTAACAACACGTAGCACGCAGCTGACGCACGGGAAATCAAACTGTTGCAATTTCAGACCAAGTTATTCTAATAATTCTCCTCCAAATCTTATGGCTAAAAACGAAAACTTATGTTTAACTCTGGGAAACATCTAAAATAGACTAAATTATCTTAAAGTTTTAAAAACTGTGATGAGTTTATTAATTATTAATAAAGTATTTTTAATTTGATAAGGGATTACATTTATACCAGGAATGGGTTTAAATTTGTTTATAAAGAAAAACTCTGCTTTGACAAAAGATGATTTATTAAACAAACAAAGAAATGTCTGTAAATACTTGATCATAATGTGAAGAGTTCAGACCTGGTTCAGTCCTGGTTTAGTCCTGGTTTGGTTCTGGTTCAGTCCTGGTTTAGTCCTGGTTTGGTTCTGGTTCAGTCCTGGTTTAGTCCTGGTTTGGTTCTGGTTCAGTCCTGGTTTAGTCCTGGTTTGGTTCTGGTTCAGTCCTGGTTTAGTCCTGGTTTAGACCTTGTTAAAGAACCAGGACTATATTACGCAGCCTGAGTCTCACTTCTTTTTAAATAACTCTAATAACACTCAAAAAAATCACTTAGCTTTAGAAAACACCTTATAACATCCTCTATACTCTAAATCTCACAACATTTGCCAAACACTTGTCTTTGACAGTGCCTCAAATCATTCAAAACCTTGCAGATATTAAACTATTTTCAAAAGTGCCTCAAATCATTTATCCAGATTTAGCTTTACACCAAACATTGCAAATATTCACTTATCCTTAGCAGTGCCTCAAAACCTCCAACCAGTTTTAGTTTTACATCAAAAACATTGCGTCAGAGAATTTCCCCAACATTGTGTTTTATCAGACATCTCACCTGGACGACTGGACTTGCTCGTGGTAAGAATAAATGTATAATATTCATTAAAGGGAGAGACTCAACAAAAGATCCCAACAAGTGATTTGTCTTTGTCTTATTTTTCAGCTTTTTATTACCTTTTGCACTGCTCCACTGGCTGGTGTCACTGTTTTTTACTGTGCAAAATTTGCTCACTCAGGGTTTTTAGGCCCGGAGAGCTCGCGACAGGGCCACTTATGACCAACTCACTCAGTAGTCGCTATTTTACCAGAAAACTCATACAAAAACAATTGGGACAAATCACTCTGCAAGTTCCTTTTGGAGAAATGAACCTGTGACCAGCGCTGCCCAAATTATAGATCTGACCTCCTAAGTGAAGTTACTGCTGGAGGAGTCAATGCCAACCAAATCAGGATCTCTCTTCTATACAGATTTTACAGATTTTTTCGGTATTTATCTAAGGCACAGGTGTCAAACATGCGGCCCGGGGGCCAGATCCGGCCCTCCAAGACCTGTAATCTGGCCCTCGGCTGATTTTCTACTAAAATATTTTGATTCTATTTTTTATTAAAATCTTGTTAATTTTGTGTGGTGTTTATCACAGCAGCGTCTCCAGCGTCTCTGTACGTGGCCCCTCCCACCAGAGCAGCACAAATGAAGACTTGTCTCTTTCCAAACGCTCTTAAAGGACGATCGTTTTGACTGTTGACCGTGACACCCTCATCAGAAAAATGTCCAACATGAGAAAAGTGGAGCCGAGTGCAGGATTTTACAACAAAAATGGACTTATTCCTGTTTACAGACAAGTTCATGTTCAAACTTTGTGTTGAAATTGTATTTTTCTTAAAGTTTCAGGTTGTTCATAATATTATAATATTTTGTAAAAGAAAGAGTTCATCAATTAAAAAAGATTTGTGTAATAGATTTGAATTTCTTTGCACAAATATTTGAACTTATTGTTATTTTTGGGGTTTATATGACATGAGTTTTCTGATCCGGACACTTTGGGATCAAAGTCAGTTGGACTCGACCCCCCGGACCAAAATGAGTTTGACTCTCCTGATCTAAGGTCACAGGACTCCGCCCAGGTACATGCAAAGCGATTGGGACGTCACATACAGAATACATTTTGCGAGTACAGGCAACACTTTTTAAAAGCCGCAAACATCAGCCATGAACGCCTCTCCCCCTCCCCCCAGGAGCGAAGCTTTTAACTGTCACTCCGCTTTGTCGAAGGAGCAGGAAGTTCGCACCCGCATTGTCCTCAGGCTTCTTAACCACCGCTCAGCACATACGGTTTACACATCAGTGTCAAACAAGGGTCAAGTGTCAAAAGAACAGAAAGTCCTTACACAAACAGAATGGTCACAAAAATTAATGCAAAACAACCCAAACCTAGAAATGAAGTTGAAAGAATTTAAACAAATCAAAGTAAAAGAAACGAATCAAAATAAAAGGAGACAAAACAAGTATCTTATGGTAACATAGGTCCCAAAAATGCATCTATCATCTAAATGAATCACTTTTAATCTGTAAAGCTCCAACACTTTTCCATTTACTCAAATAAAGCAGCGTGAACATCTTCATCTGAAAGTCAGGGGCAACAAAACCTTCATCCTTTTACAACAGCCACTTCTTCTGTGGCCAAGGGGGGAACACCACAGACCTGGTTTAGACCTGGTTTAGTCCTGTTTCGTCCTGGTTCAGTCCTGGTTCAGTCCTGGTTTAGACCTGTTTTAGTCCTGGTTCAGTCCTGGTTCAGTCCTGGTTCAGTCTGGTTTCTGGTTTAGACCTGGTTTTAATCCTGTTTAGACCTGGTTTAGTCCTGGTTTAGTCCTGGTTTAGACCTGTTTTAGTCCTGGTTTAGTCCTGGTTTCAGTCCTGGTTCAGTCCTGGTTTAGACCTGGTTTAGTCCTGGTTTAGTCCTGGTTCAGTCCTGGTTTAGACCTGGTTTAGTCCTGGTTTAGTCCTGGTTCAGTCCTGGTTTAGTCCTGGTTTAGACCTGGTTTAGTCCTGGTTTAGTCCTGGTTTAGTCCTGGTTTGGTTTAGTCCTGGTTTAGTCCTGGTTTAGTCCTGGTTTAGTTCTGGTTCAGTCCTGGTTTAGTTCTGGTTTAGTCCTGGTTTAGTCCATGTTTAGTCCTGGTTTAGTCCTGGTTCAGTCCTGGTTCAGTCCTGGTTTAGTCCTGGTTTAGTCCTGTTTAGTCCTGGTTCAGTCCTGGTTTAGTCCTGGTTTAGTCCTGGTTCAGTCCTGGTTTAGTCCTGGTTCAGTCCTGGTTTAGTCCTGGTTTAGTCCTGGTTCAGGTGGTGTGTGCGTTGGACAGACTGGGGCTGGTGCTCACAGATGGGCGTCTCTCTCTGGAGGTCGAGGAGCAGGAGGAGATCCGGGTCTGGAGCAGAGTGTGTCTGAAGGAGCGACACATGAGGAAGTAAACCAGAGGGTCCAGACACACGTTCACCGAGGCCAAGGTGAGCGTCGCCTCCTTCACCTGGAACAGCACGAACCTGAGGAGCACAGACGAGTCACGCCGATTTAAACCTGCACACAAACTCCCACGCACAAAACACAAGAGACGACGAAGAGACGACGAAGAGACGACGAAGAGACGACGAAGAGACGACGAAGAGACGACGAAGAGACGAACGAAGAGACAACGAAGAGACAACGAAGAGAGAACGAAGAGACAACGAAGAGACGACGAAGAGACAACAAAGAGACAACGAAGAGACGACGAAGAGACGACGAAGAAACAACGAAGAGACAACGAAGAGAGAACGAAGAGACAACGAAGAGACGACGAAGAGACGACGAAGAGACAACGAAGAGACGACGAAGAGACAACGAAGAGACGACGAAGAGACGACGAAGAGACGACGAAGAGACGACGAAGAGACGACGAAGAGACGAAGAGACGACGAAGAGACGACGAAGAGACGACGAAGAGACGACGAAGAGACGACGAAGAGACGACGAAGAGACGACGAAGAAACAACGAAGAGACAACGAAGAGAGAACGAAGAGACGACGAAGAGACGACGAAGAGACGACGAAGAGACAACGAAGAGAGAACGAAGAGAGAACGAGACGAAGAGACGACGAAGAGACGACGAAGAAACGAACGAAGAGACAACGAAGAGAGAACGAGAGACGACGAAGAGACGACGAAGAGACGACGACGAAGAGACGACGAAGAGACGACGAAGAACGACGAGAGACGACGAAGAGACGACGAAGACGAAAGAGACGACGAAGAGACGACGAAGAGACGAAGAGACGACGAAGAGAGGACGAAGAGACGACGAAGAGACGACGAAGAAACAACGAAGAAAGAACGAAGAGACGACGAAGAAAGAACGAAGAGACGACGAAGAGACGACGAAGAGAGAACGAAGAGACGATGAAGAGACGACGAAGAAACAACGAAGAAAGAACGAAGAAGACGAAGAGAGACGAAGAGAGACGACGACGAAGAGACGACGAAGAGACGACGAAGAAACAACGAAGAAAGAACAAAGAGACGACGAAGAGACGACGAAGAGACGACGAAGAGAGAACGAAGAGACAACGAAGAGAGAACGAAGAGACGACGAAGAGATGACGAAGAGACAACGAAGAGAGAACAAAGAGACAACGAAGAGAGACGACGAAGAGACGACGAAGAGACGACGAAGAGACGACGAAGAGACGACGAAGAGACGACGAAGAGACGAACGAAGAGACAACGAAGAGACGACGAAGAGAGAACGAAGAGATAACGAAGAGAGAACGAAGAGACGACGAAGAGACGACGAAGAGACGACGAAGAGACGAACGAAAGAGACGAACGAAAGAGACAACGAAGAGAGAACGAAGAGATAACGAAGACGAAGAGAGAACGAAGAGACGACGAAGAGAGACGACGAAGAGACGACGAAAGAGACGAAGAGAGACAACGAAGAGACGAAGAGAAACGAAGAGACAACGAAGAGAGAACGAAGAGAGAACAACGAAGAGACAACGAAGAGACAACGAAGAGAGACGAAGAGACAACGAAGAGAGAACGAAGAGACAACGAAGAGAGACGAAGACGAAGAGACGAAGAGACGAAGAGAGAACGAAGAGAGAACGAACGAAGAGAGAACGAAGAGACAACGAAGAGACAAACGAAGAGACGACGAAGAGACGAACGAAGAGAGAACGAAGAGACAACGAAAGAGAAAGAACGAGAGAAACGAAAGAACAACGAAGAGAGAGAGAACGAAGAGACGAACGAAGAAGAGAGAACGAAGAGACAACGAAGAGACAACAAAGAGAGAACGAAAGAGAGAAGAGACGAAGAGAAGAGACGAAGAGAGAGACGAAGAGAGACGAAGAGAGAACGAAGAGAACGAAGAGACAACGAAGAGACGACGAAGAGAGACGACGAGAGACGAAGAGAGAACGAAGAGACGAACGAAGAGACAACGAAGAGAAACGAACGAAGAGAGACGAAGAGACGAAGAGACGACGAAGAAGAGAACAACAACGAAGAGAACGAAGAGACAACGAGACAACGAAGAAACGAAGACGAAGAGACGACGAAGAGACAACGAAGACGAAGAGAAACGAAGAGAGAACGAAGAGAGAACAACGAAGAGAGACGAAGAGAGAGAACGAAGAGACGACGAAGAGAGACGAACGAAAGAGAGACAACGAAGAGACAACGAAGAGAAGACGAACGAAGAGAGAACGAAGAGAGAAGAACGAAGAGAACGAAGAGAGACGAACGAGAGAAGAAACGAAGAAAGAAACGAAGAGAGACGAAGAGACAACGAAGAAGACGAAGAAGAGAGACGAACGACGAAGAGACGACGAAGAGACGACGAAGAGACGACGAAGAGACGACGACGACGAAGAGACGAACGAAGAGACGAAGAGACGAAGAGACGAAGAGAGACAACGAAGAGACGAAGAAGAGACGAAGAGACGACGAAGAGACGACGAAGAAGAGACGAAGAGAGAACGAAGAGACGAAGAGACGAAGAGAGAAGAACGAAGAGACGAAAGAGACGAAGAGACGAAGAAGACGACGAAGAGAGACGAACGAGAGACGACGAAGAGACGACGAAGAGACAACGAAGAAACGAAGAGAACGAAGAGACGAAGAAGAGAGAACGAAGAGAGAACGAAGAGAGACAACGAAGAGAGAATGAAGAGACAACGAAGAGACAACGAAGAGACGACGAAGAGAGAACGAAGAGACAACGAAGAGACAATGAAGAGACAACGAAGAGACAACGAAGAGACGACGAAGAGAGAACGAAGAGACAACGAAGAAACAACGAAGAGAGAACGAAGAAACAACGAAGAGAGAACGAAGAGAGAACGAAGAGAGAACAAAGAGAGAACGAAGAGAGAACGAAGAGACAACAAAGAAACAACGAAGAGAGAACGAAGAGACAACGAAGAGACAACGAAGAGACGACGAAGAGACGACGAAGAGAGAATGAAGAGACAACGAAGAAACAACAAAGAGAGAACGAAGAGACAACGAAGAAACAACGAAGAGACGACGAAGAGACAACGAAGAGAGAACGAAGAGACGACGAAGAGACGACGAAGAGACGACGAAGAGACGACGAAGAGACGACGAAGAAACAACGAAGAGACAACGAAGAGAGAACGAAGAAACAACGAAGAGACAACGAAGAGAGAACGAAGAGACAACGAAGAGAGAACGAAGAAACGACGAAGAGACGACGACGAAGAGACGACGAAGAGAGGACGAAGAGAGGACGAAGAGACGACGAAGAGACAACGAAGAGTGAACGAAGAGACGACGAAGAGACAACGAAGAGAGAACAAAGAGACAACGAAGAGAGAACGAAGAGAGAACGAAGAGACAACGAAGAGACAACGAAGAGAGAATGAAGAGACAACGAAGAGACAACGAAGAGACGACGAAGAGAGAACGAAGAGACAACGAAGAGACAATGAAGAGACAACGAAGAGACAACGAAGAGACGACGAAGAGAGAACGAAGAGACAACGAAGAAACAACGAAGAGAGAACGAAGAGAGAACGAAGAGAGAACGAAGAGAGAACGAAGAGACAACGAAGAGAACGAAGAGAGAACGAAGAGAACGAAGAGAGAACGAAGAGACAACGAAGAGACAATGAAGAGACAACGAAGAGACAACGAAGAGACGACGAAGAGAGAACGAAGACAGAACGAAGAGACAACGAAGAGACAATGAAGAGACAACGAAGAGACAACGAAGAGACGACGAAGAGAGAACGAAGAGACAACGAAGAAACAACGAAGAAACAACGAAGAGACGACGAAGAGAGAACGAAGAGACAACGAAGAGACAACGAAGAAACAATGAAGAGAGAACGAAGAGACAACGAAGAGACAACGAAGAGACAATGAAGAGACGACGAAGAGAGAACGAAGAGACAACGAAGAGAGAACGAAGAGACAATGAAGAGACGACGAAGAGACAAAGAAGAGACGACGAAGAGAGAACGAAGAGACAACGAAGAAACAACGAAGAAACAACGAAGAAACAACGAAGAGACGACGAAGAGAGAACGAAGAGAGAACGAAGAGACAACGACGTCACCAACAACGGTCAACTCCAGTCCTGATCTAGTCCTGGTTCAGTCCTGGTCCAGTCCTGGTCCAATCCTGGTCCAGTCTTGTCTTAGTCCTGGTTTCGTCCTGGTCCAGTCCTGTCTTAGTCCTGGTCCAGTCCGGACAGACCTGGAGTGCTGGCTGAATCCGGACCGGGGCATCTGGCTTAAAGTGTAGGGGATTCTGCAGAGGTGGTACGGGACGAAGCACAGGGCGAAGACGAGGAGGAGGCTGAGGATGCTGCGCCTCGACTTCCTGCAGACGGAAGAGTTTGAGCGAACGCGCCGATACGAGCGATACACGTGGACCCCGATGGAGGTGTAACAGGTCACCATGACAACCAGGGTCAGCCAGAACACGCCCACCGAGAAGATGGACGACGCCTGACCAAGACAGAAAGAGAGAGGAAGAAATGATTTATGTTTGTCATACGTCATTTGTGCTGGAGGTTTTATTTGGCGTTAATAAAAACACTTTAATCAGACTAAACTTGTGGACGAGCTCTTAGGTCGTTTTCACACCGATAGTTCGATTATTTGGTCGCACCAGGCAATAAAATTGTTATTATGTAGTAAATCCACTCCAGTGTGTCGCGTTCACACCGACAAACCAACTAAAACTGGTTTGATTCACGTGTCTCTGTTTCCCCGGTAAAACAGCGATACTCCAGTTATCAACACTGGGAACACCGCGGATTCAAGCAGTGTGAAAACGACCTTAGGGTATTTGTTGCACCAAACGGTCCATTCGAACCAAAAGTGGTGAGTTCGGTTCGTTTGCGTTGGTGTGAAAGCGTCAATCGGACTCGGACCCGAACCAAATCAAGCGGACCGAGACCTCAAAAAAGAGGTGGTCTCAGTTCGCTTGAATCCACCAAATGACCAACTTTGGTGCGGTTCCTCTGGTGTGAACGTGAACCCGGGTCCAAACCATAGACAGTATGAACAAACGGACTATTCCAAATGCATCATGGGAGAAACGCGTCTCCTCTGCCTGAAGTGACGCTGTACGACTCCAGCGCAGTAACAGGTTGTTGTCCAGACGCAGACGCGATTCATTTTCAAATTATTTTACCAACAATGGCCAAAACAGAGAATGAAACACACGAAGATCAGAGCAAGAACCAGTGTGCGAACGTGTGGCTCCAGAGTGAGTCAGAATTGGGGGGGTGTACTTCTGTTCGGGACCTACACACACAGAGACGACCCGGTGTCCCCCGTGATCACACAGCAACCAACATTTGTTATTTTAGGCTTTAATTAACCAAATAATTTCATGGCAATAGGCAATCGCCCATTCAATTGATACAACTTAAAAAAGTCCCTGTTTTTAGCCTCGTGTGAGAAATACAGTCGGACTAGATCCAAACCAGAGTCCTGAACCAGCGGGGCAGCTCCGGTTCAGTCCGGGCTCAGAGGAGCTGGAGCGGGGAGCCTCGACCTGAGGAAGAACTTTCCCCGGGAAGAACCAAATGCACAGAGGACGGACGCTCAGAACAACATATAACAAACCAAACTGGACTCACGCTTCTGTCCGGATGCTGCACCACCTCGGAACCAGCCGCGGTTCTTGAGCGCGGAGAACCGGAGCAGCGCCCGGACCTGTAGTCCACAGAACATTCTCACTTTCCCGCACGGAAACAGCGCGCAGACGACTGAAAGTACCCGCTCGGACTCAGTCCATCAAGCACTGGTCTTGCTCGCCACCGTTTGGAACCAGCACATGGAGGACAGAGCCTCCGGACCATCTGACCAACGAACTTGTAACAGACCAAGGACCAGACCCCAGCCCCGTCCTGAGGAGCTGTTGGCTGCTGCTGTTACCCGAACTCTGGGCTGATGCGGTGAGTTTGTACAAAGTTCTACATGTTGCTGTTTTATGAGTTCATGGTGATAATTTGAGATGAGGACGGCATCCGTCATCTCAAATTAACAGGAACATCGGTGTTTGATAACTGGAGTATCGCTGTTTTACCGGGGAAACAGAGACACGTCAATCGAACCAGTTTTGGTTCGTTTGCCGGTGTGAACGCACACACTGGAGTGTATTTGCTACATAAAAACAATTGTATTGCCTGGTGCGGAACCAAATAATCGAACTAGCGGTGTGAAAACGACCTTAATCTCACGCACATTCTGTCTTAGTCCTGGTCCAGTCCTGGTCCAGTCCTGGTTTAGTCCTGGTCCAGTCCTGGTCCAGTCTTGTCTTAGTCCTGGTCCAGTCCTGGTCCAGTCTTGTCTTAGTTGTGGTCCAGTCCTGGTTTAGTCCTGGTCCAGTCCTGGTCCAGTCTTGTCTTAGTCCTGGTCCAATTCTGTCTTAGTCCTGGTCCAGTCCTGGTCCAGTCCTGTCTCAGTTCTGGTTCAGTCCTGGGACTGAAAATTAAGATTCATTGCGGGTTTTGGGCGGGACTGATTCATCGGTTGGTTTCACTTGGTGGAAACCGTGTGACCTGCAGCGTTAGGATTCGTTCACTCCACTTTTTTATTGAACCAATCGCTGCTGTTTGGTCGTGACGTTTGTAAAGCTCCAAATCCTGTAGGAAGAAGAACAATAACGTCTTTTCCCCGAGATCAAATTCACCAAACATTCTCTTTGTTCCGGCTTTAAATCTTCAATCGTTGCCAACGCACAATGTCTGTCTCTTCTCTGATTGGCTGGTGCCCAAACTCCCACTTCTGGGTTCTTTAAACCATCTAGTGCACAGGTGTCAAACATACGGCCCAGGGGCCAGATCCGGCCCTCCAAGACCTTTAATCTGGCCCTCGGCTGATTTTCTACTAAAATATTTTAATTATATTTTCTATTAAAATGGTGTTAATTTTCTGTGGTGTTTATCACAGCAGCGTCTCCAGCGTCTCTGTACGTGGCCCCTCCCACCAGAGCAGCACAAATGAAGACTTGTCTCTTTCCAAACGCTCTTAAAGGACGATCGTTTTGACTGTTGACCGTGACACCCTCATCAGAAAAATGTCCAACATGAGAAAAGTGGAGCCGAGTGCAGGATTTTACAACAAAAATTGACTTATTCCTGTTTACAGACAAGTTCATGTTCAAAACTTTGTGTTGAAATTGTTATTTTTTTTTAAAGTTTCAGGTTGTTCATAATATTATAATATTTTGTAAAAGAAAGAGTTCATCAGTTAAAAAAAGATTTGTGTAATAGATTTGTGTTTCTCTGCACAAATATTTGAACTTCTTGTTATTTTTGGGGTTTATATGACATGAGTTTTCTGATCCGGACACTTTGGATCAAAGTCGGTTGGACACGACCCCGGAACAACATGAGTTTGACTCTCCTGGTCTAGTGTTTTCTGGTTCCTGTGACCTCGAGCTGGAGACAGTAGGTGGTGTCAGACTGACGAGGTGCAGGTGGGAGCTCAGACCTTCAGGCGTCCAGCACCAGAGCAGAAAAAGGTGAACTTCTGGCGTCGGACAAACAGTGTCAATCAGAGACCACTCTCTGCTGTCAATCAATTAAAATATTTAATCACGATTAATGTCATGGTAACACTTTATAATAACTACACCTTATTTACTTAATATACTTAATTACTACCTGAATTAGCACTTAACTTGCACTTAATTCACCTGTGCTGTAAATAGTTACTCAATACTTCTTAATTACTCATGAACTAACCATTTGTGTGCATTTGTAAATGTATATTTAAGTACAAATTTGAGCATTTATTAATGATTAGTAAACCATGAGAGAATGATTTATTAGTAATGCATTATTGTTTCTCTGGAATTTGATCAACCTTAACAAATGTTTAATAAAACATAATTATTCTTCACTTTAGAAAAACTCTCAGAAAGATTTAACTAACAGATAACAGCTGCTGAATGATCATTGCATTACATTATTAGTAAATCATTCTCTCATAACTTACTAATCATTAATAAACGCTCAAATTTGTACTTAAATATACATTTGTAAACATGCAAATGGTTAGTTCAT